TGCTTGCCTCTGCCTCCTGAGCGCTGGGATTAAAAGTGTGTGCTGCAATGGTCCAGCTTCTCCTGGATTTTCATTCTGACCTGTCTTACCTGGGCCTTTCAGAATGCCACAGTGACCAGGCTGCGAATGCTTGTGTACCTGCATTGCAGTTACTTTGGCCTAATGTTGTGGCTTATGAGCTGCTAGGGCAAAAGGAGGCCTGATCTAAATCCTTAGCCACACTGGACCTTCCAGAGCCTTGATAACACTGCCCTTTCCTGTGGCAATTCCATCTCATCCCCAGGCCTCACCCAAAACTCATCAACGGCCTACCACCTTCCTGCTTTGTGCACAATAAAGAACATACCATTTTCATATCAGGACTGTGTCCTAACTCCTGAAGAATGTCCACCTCTCTAGGGCAAGCAGTCCACTCTTGCACCTCCAGGGTTTGATACCAGCTTGATCACTTACTAAATTAGTCAGTGAGTGCATTTCTGAACCTTCTAACCCCAAGGCCCTACAAGGTCTTAGAAATGCCTTTAATGGCAGCTCCTGGTAGTAGTTCTTGGTGCACTCAGCATTAGTGGGATAGGCCCTGCTCCATGCATGCCAGCACCTAGCAGGGCATCCACACAGAAGACTCCATAGACTATACTGACGCATGAAGCTCAGGGCTTTGCCTAAATAGGTCACACATAAAATAAATCAGGAAGTGGATAGGTCCAGCCTGTGAACGCCTAACCTCTTGGTGGTTTCCCAAGGACAGTCCTCCAGCCACAAGCAGCTCATGTTCCAAATGCTATTCCAGAGGAGAACAAGGACTAAAAAGCTATATCAAGAGCAACATATGGGCTGGGCATGGAGGCACAGGCCTTTAATCCTGGTGCTCATGAGGCTGAGGCAGACTGATCTCTGAGTTCCAGGCCGGTCTGTTCTACATAGATGGCTCAGTTCAGCGAGGGCTACATAGAAAAACTCTGTCTCAAAAACAAACAAGCAAACAATAACAAAACATGAAAGAAGCCACAGAGGGAGACTGGAAGACTGTCATTACCTGGCATCATCTAAGGAATAAAACAAAGCCATGAAATATAACCAGGAGCAGCAGTGGGTGCTATGAGTAGCCAGATAATTTTTGCTTACTAGTTTACTTCCATTCTTAGGACTATTTCTCCTCTTCCTCCTTTTTGTTTTTTTGAGACAGGGTTTCTCTGTGTAACCATAGCTTACCTGGACCTTGCTTTGTAGACCAGGCTGGCCTCAAACTCACAGAGATCTACCTGCCTCTGCCTCCCAAGTGCTAGAATTAAAGGCATGCACCACCACCACCACCCAGCCTCTTTTTTCTTCTTTTTAAAATTAATTTTATTGTTTGTGTGTGTGCAGAGGCAAGGGGACAGTGTTGGATCCCATGGAGCTGGACATGGATGTTGGGACTAAACTCCTGTCCTTTGCAAGAGCAACACGTGCTTCTACAGGAGAGCCATTCCTCCAGTCTCCAATCTTTCCACTCTTCTTAAGCTAGTTCTATTCCATGTCTAACTTAGAAGGTATGCCTTTTTTATCATCTATTTCTGATGGTTGCCATGATTTTTACCTAACCTGTACTCTGTTTTCTCTTAAATTGTAATAAAATTGTTTTGGGTTTCTTTTTGAATCCTTTTCTTAATGAGACTGAGGACATTACAAGAGAAGCTCCGTTTCCTCTGTAACACCTCCAGTCCTGTTCCACTTCTGTGGACCATGTCTGCAACACTGTGCTCAGCTGTGAATGACCCAGGGATGGCACTCTGCCACAGCCTTCCTGCTCACAGCCTCTCCCTACACACCCACTTGGCTTCTGAAGGCTACTGAGGTTCCTGGACACAACATTCCTAACTCTGAGGGAGGCCTGAATGACCCACACTCCTTGTGACCAGTGTATCTTTCTTGTGTGATATTTCTGTCTCTGCCTCCTTGATAGTGGCTCAGCTATACAGGCCAGAGCTGAGTCGGAAACCCTGCAGAATATGAACCACGTTATCAAAGTATCACCAGCTCCCCAGGGTCTTGGCAACTTACCTGATGGACTGGAGCCCAGTTAACAGTGCAAAGGACACACCACAGTACAGCAGAAGGCTCAGTGCCCAGTGTACACCATGCTCATTCGGTAAATACATACACATGAGTCTGGTGCAGCTGTGGCATGGCCCAGGCCTGGGCTCCCCGTGATTCCGGTGCCTGGGACACACTGCAAGGTCTCTGGACCCTGAGGGTGCTCCCTCAGGCACGAGCCATGTCATGTCTGCCCATTTTCCTCAAGATGATCACATTCTCATGCCAGGTTCATCCTATTTTAACCCAAGTTAAACAGATCAGTAGTTTCCAAGGAATCCATGGTCCAGAGCACCAGCTGGGAGGGTCAGCTCCCCAATGTGCAGGCTGAGGGACATTCAGTGACAATCTGTGGGTCTGTAGGAAGCTGGCTAAAGTCTCTACTTCCTGCCACTGCCTGATGTCCTTTCCGGAGCCCAAGAATGTAATTACTAGCAACAAATGATTGCTGGTGAGCAGGCAGCACGTTGTCAGACTGTGTTAGTGGTTCCTGTGTGCTGACTTAGCACTACAGGGCTCTAAGGGACCCTCTCCCTGGGCCTTCTCCCTAGTCATGACCAGCCACAGAGTTGTCCACAGAGGCTCATCTGAACTAAGTTCCCATTTTAAAGGAAAATGTGTATGGGTAGGAGTCATGTCATACCTAGTTCACAGGAAAAGGCACTTTCCAGCTTTCAAGGAACTTGTCTTGGGACCTACAGTTTACAAAAGGAGGTTGGACACAGCATTATTTTCAAATACAGAGATAAAAAATTCAAATAGCAGGTTTGGTCGAACAGATTCAAACTACTATCTACTCGCTCAGAAATCATACACTGGTCACTACTATCACGTTTCCTTGACCTACCTCAACAACCAGCCACCTCCCCCTGCCCCCACCTTAGAAAGTGCAAACTGCATGTATCTCACTTTCCTCCCTTAGAATGAGAATGGGAAGATATGTCATATTCATTGAGAACCTACAATGGTGTCTAGTACAAGATAGCACAGCTTGACCAAGGCTACTGGTGCCAAGCCCCAGTGTGCACAGCTTGGTCACTCTCATTTCCTCCCTTGACCCTGGCTGCAATGCCTGCCTGGCGCACACAGACACAACTCATCAGGCAGCCCATTCTTCTGCCTGCAAATGCACCCTTGGTCTGTCCCCAGCGCTGTATGCCAATTGCTGAGGTCAGTAGATGCTTGTTCTTTGCTTCCAATCAAAGGCAGCCTGTCCACCAAGGCTGGCGAAGCTCAGTGAACACAGCCTTCGGTTTCCTAGGTACAAGCCTCACTACTGGCCCCAATAGGGCTGCAATGTCAGACAATATTCATCTCAGCTGGCCACAGACTGACAGAGCCTCCGGACTTTGTTTTACCACCCCAGTGAGTGAGGAACATGAGGGAGAAAACACAGGTCCCCTTGTTCTCTTCAAAGTGGGATTCTGGCTTTAAGCAGCTGCAGCTGTTAGCAGCTCCCATCCCAGAGTTACAGCAGGAGGCTGCCTCTGGCAGGGGGTGGGGTGTCCCGGCAGAGGAGGGACCACCCCCATAGGGCCTGCCTGGGAAGAAGAGCAGAAAGCAGAACTGCTAGGGTAAACCTGAAGGGCAAGGAGGGACAGCCAGGTCCGATTGGCTTGGGTTAGAATTGTTCATGACAATTACTTGTAGATAATAAGACGCGGGACCCAAAGAGAGAAAGGCAATTGTTTAAAGCTATAGATACAAAGAAGCAAGACTTGCCAGGAAAGCTCTTTCCTAAATTTGTTGACTTTGACCAAAGACAGCCAAAAAAGAACTGGGAGGGACATCTGCCTCTTTGAGCTGCTCCCTGAGCCCCAGAACCTAGCGGGCCTTCCCAAGGCCGTGCCTGGAGTACCTTGCCTGTTGGGCCCTGCGGGCAGTCTGATCGTTGTCCCCCACCCCTATTGGCCGGAGTTAGCAGTTCAATCTCAACAAGGCAGAATGCACCCTGTACCAAGTATTTGTTCTAACGGTGTGGAAAAAAACTTAAAAAATAAAGCACTGCTGAATGTAGGAGGAGGCTTGATGGGAGGAGGTTGCTGCAAGGGGCAGCTAGGGAGGACAGATGGTGGCTGAAACTCCTCAAGGGATAAGGGTGGGTGGGGCCTTATAGAGTGCGAGAGGCCTGTGCGGGGGCACCCGGGATGGCAAGGGCAGGAGGCACCGCGGTACATGCGCAACTGCGTAGGCCCCCCGGGCCGCCGCAGAGAGCGTGAGGGCTCGCAGAGCTGGCCACTCCGGCAGCCAAAGCATCGCTTGCCTGGGTCCCCGGGAGGGCAGAGCTCGTACGCAGCGGCGCGCGCGCGCTCCCGCGCCTGGGCGCCGGAGACGCCCTGGGGCGCGCGCCTCACTTCCGGTAGGCAGTGATTGGCTGCGCCGCGCGAGCCCTGCCCTGCCGGCCAATAGGCGGCGCGGTGCAGGAGGGGGCGGGGCGCGGGCGCAGCCTGGACACCGCCCGCGGGCCTGCCCGACTCCCGCCGGCCGCCGGCGCCATGTGACCGCGCCGCCGCCCT